TGAGGGAGAGGAGGAGGAGGAGGAGGAGGCGGAGGATGAGGAGGAGGAGGAGGATAAAGCAGAGGATAAAGAGGAGGAGGAAGATGAGGAGTGTTGTGGAGGAGGGAAGGGAAGGACGGGGGTGGAGGAGGAGGGGGAGGAGGAGGAGGAGGCCCGAGGGGGCGCAGGATGCCCGAGGATCGGGGCGAAGGAGGAGGTGGAGGAGGAGGAGGAGGAGGAGGAAAACGTGGAGGAGGCAAAAGAGAAGGAGGAGGAGGAGGAAGAGGAGAAGGAGGAGGAGGAGCAGGAGGAGGAGGAGGAGGAGGGGGAGGAGAAGGAGGAGGAGGAGGAGGGAGGGAAGGAAGAGGGTGGAGGAGGAGGAGGAGGAGGAGGTGGGGGAGGGCGACGACGGAATCTTCGCGTCGGTGAACATACGCAGGAACATACAAGTCTCCGACGATCGTTCGTGAAGTATTCCTAGCGTTCGTTCTACGATTTCGGCCCTCGGGGGCCTCTTTCGGGCCCAGAGGGCATCATCAAACATGCATTCGCGTCGAGTCGCTGACCTCATGGGGGCGGTCCGTACTTCTGGGGCCGCAGACTGAACAATTCATATCCGCGGGTGAGAGGGGAGGAAGGGAGGATGAGAAGGAGGGGTGGAGAAGGATGCTAAGAAGGAGGATGAGAAGGAGAATGATACGAGATCATGATGGTAATACTATTAACAAGAAGACGGAGAAGGATGATGAGAAGGAGGATGAAAAGGAGCGTTGGGAGGAGGAGGAGGAGGAGGACAGAGCGAGGAAAAGGAGGTGGAGGATGATATTATCAATCGGGGGACCTGTCGTATAGAGGCGGAGACGGGGCATTCACTTCCAGGTTGACTATCATTACGGGTCAACATACAGATCTGTTAGCGATAGTTCCCCGTCCCTCCCTGCTAGGAGGAGGAGGAGGAGGACAGAGCGAGGATAAGGAGGTAGAGGATGATATTATCAATCGGGGGACCTGCCGTATAGAGGGGGAGACGGGGCATTCGCTTCCAGGTTGACTATCACTACGGTTCAACATACAGATCTGTTAGCGATAGTTTTCCGTCCCTCCCTGTTGGGAGGAGGAGAATGGAGGATGAGGAGGAGGACGAGGGGCAAAAGGGAAAGAAGGAGGAGGAGAAGGAGGAAGAGCAAGGAAGAGGAGGAAGATGATGATGATGGTGATGATGATGATGAGGAGGAGGAGGAGGAGAAGGAGACGGGAAAGGAGGTGGAGGAGGACAAGTGTTAAACCAAGCTTCATCAACCATGTTGGAACCCTCCCTCCAAGCTCCCTCTCTGTGGGACCCTACAAGGGTTCAGTACCACTGAGGGAACTGCATCGTTGGGAGAGAACCGTTTGACGACCCTGAAGCAACTGTTTAAAACGAGTGTGCGCGGCGTTGAGGCGAGAACCCCATTTTGAAAAGAAACCGCCCTCAATCAGTGAAACTCTTGCAAATTTTGAAATTCGTGTGCGCGGCGCTAACGCGAGAGCCACATTTTGAAAACGACCCGCTCTCAATCCGTGAAGTTCTTGTTGCATTTTTTTAAGGCGAATGTGCGCGACGCTAAGGCGAGAGCCACATTTTGAAAACGACCCGGCCTCCATCTGCGAAACTGTTGCCAACTTTTAACCTTCAGGGTCACACGCAAATGGTGAGGAAGTCTCAGGTGGAGCGCCCGGCCCGCCCTTTCGACCGGCCTCGGGGAGCGACAGGGAGGAGTTGTGTATGAGGAAGAGGAGCGGAGGTCGCTGAGGTTGAGGCGGCGAGGACGCGGCGGGGGGGGAGGGAGGAAGGGGGGGGAGGGAAGGAGGGCGGGAGGGAAGGAGGCATGGGAGGCATGGAGGGCGGGTGGGATGGGACGGCGGAGGACGGGCTGCTGCCGCCCCCCCCCAGTCCAGGCTCCGCCACGTGGAGCCCCCGGAGTGCCTGCGGCTGGACCATGCGCCCTCGGCTCCCGCTCCGCCCTGTTGCCGCCGGGGGCTGCTCCTCCCTGCCCCCCGGAACCCCAGCGGAGGAAAGGTGCCGATACCTCTACCCTTTTATCGAGGGGGAGGGGAGGGGGAGGGGTTGGGGGAGGAGGAGGAGGAGGAGGAAGAGGAGGAGGAGGAGGAGGAGGAGGAGGAGGAGGAGGAGGAGGAGGAGGAGGAGCGTCTTGGGCCTCCCAGATGGGGTCAGAGTAGATGGGTTCGGAGGCTTGCGCCGCGTCGCCGATGCGTCGGCGGCGCGGCTCGATGCGGAGCACGATCCTCTGTCCTGGGAGGCTCTCGTCGACACGGCTGGATTCGCTTCGAAGTTTTGGTCAGAACGCACCACAGGAGAGATGAAACGGTAGGTATCTGTTGTTTTCCCCGACATTTTCTTGCTCATTAGGAGCCTCTTGGGAGCCTCCTGGGGACCTCCTGGGGGCTCTCGGGAGCCTCCTGGGTGCCTCTCGTGGGCCTCTTGGGAGCCTGCTGGCGGTCTCGGGGGCCATCTGGGGACCGAGGGCTCCAAGAGTTGGTTGGAGTTCCTTCTCTAGGGCCCCTCTCGGGGTTCTCTTGAGGGCTTCTTGTGCCGTCTTGGAGCAGTCTTGGGCGCCATGTGGACCGTCGTGGAAGCTCTTGAGACCGACTGGCAGCGAATCTTTGAACCACGTTCTCTGCTTCCCATGGCTTGGGCCTCCTGGGCCTGCTCCCCGAGCCTCCAGGACAGCCCAAGAGCCGCCCAAGAGGGCTCCAGTGCGGACCGCTGGGGATCTCGTGGGGCATGCTGGCGGGTCGGAGTCCCAGCAGCGCTCCCGAGGCCTCGGGGCGAATCGTGTGCGAAGACGCCCGAGAGCGTCAAGACGCCCCTGGCAGCGCCCAGGAGGTTCTGGGTCGGGGCTCAGCCAGAGCGCCGGATCTCGAAGGGTCCTGCAGCCAGGGTTGCACTGACCCAGGCTAGCGCGCAGGATCCTGCAGGATCCTGCAGGATCGTGCAGGGTCCTGCAAGGCCCCACCGGCCTGGGCTTGGATTGACCCGGGTCAAAGCAGTTGAAGAGAACTGTCGTCGATACGATCGAAATGGGTACGGAAAATATGGTGCCCAAGATCGTCAGCAGTTCTTGTCCATTCTGAACCAGACTCGCTGTCGGCGTTTCCGCGAACGTCGTCCATCATATGAGATAAGAAGCCGCCTGCCGAACAGTGGCCGCTGTTGGGGCCTCTTCTTGGAGGCATGCTGGAGGCCATCTAGAAGCAACTTGGACCATCTTGGAGACCATCTTAGGCTATCTGGGACCATGCTGGAGCTATCTATGACCATCTTGGACGCCATGGCCGCTTGTGAAGCCATTGTCTAGCCCCCCGAGGAGGAGAAGGTAAGGACAGGGGCATGCCCATCCCTGAAGGGGAAGAAAGGAGCTCGGGCTAGAGAAGTAGATAATCTCATAAACCACCTACGCCCAGTGGGCTGGTTGGAGCCCCAACAAATCGCAGGCAGTCTCGTACTTGGATCAGTCTGATTTTGGCACCCCCTCGCAAGGGCTTCCCGCCCTTCCATGAGAACCCTCGAGAAGGCTTCGGACATAGCGGCTGCATACAGGGCTCAGGACTTCTCAGGCCAGTCCGTGCAATGATGCTCACGTCCGTGCGGAGCTCCCAATAGGCCTCAGTGACAACCTGGACCGGTTTGGGCAGCACTCGCTCGCAAGACTTGTCATCACCATCAAACAGGGAGTCCATACCGGGCCCCAGTTGGCCAAAGGGTGCTGGCACATGCAGGGTTTGGACGCCCTTGCCGCCGCCGTCCTCGTCGTCGATGTCGTCGTCGCTACTGAGCTAATTGCTTGTATGAATGTGGATTGTTGGTCCCCCCCTCCGGTGCTGCTTGGTGTTTTTTCACATGAAGCGCCCTCCCGAGCCTCGCACCATGTGTTTTACAAGGGGAAAGTTTGAGACTCAGACTGTGCCCCTGGCTTCTGAAATCGTACATCAACAACAGTGACAGCTCCCGCCTGATGCGGTTTTATCGTTTATTCAAAAGCCGTGCTCTCGCGCGGGACCTCCTCACACTATATTTATCCAGGAATCGCGCTCTCGCGTGGGATTTGCTGTTAATGTATTGAGACGCCGCGCCCTCCACTCAGGAATCACGCTTTCTCTCTCTCTCCTCTCTGGACTTCCGACGCTTTACTTGGGAATCCTCCTTGCGATCCATGGAGGACTGATGCTTCAGCGACCCGCCCGCTCGACCCGGTCGTCTGGGCCCGCCGGCCCGACCCGCTGGTCACCATCTCCCCCAGATGCTGTTGCTCCTGCTCTCGCCTCTGTCTCCGCTCCAGTCGGCGCATGGGCCTGCCGTATCTCTACCTCCAGAGAATGATCTCATCCCTTCTTCGATCACTCGAGTGCCAGGAGGAGACTGGGTCGACCGCGCGGACATGCGCGCGCAAGCTTCCCGCGCCACGTTGCTCGCAGGCGTCGCCTCCTCCACGCAGTGTGCTACGCAGGCGGGCCGCGTAAGCCGCAGCGCAAGGTCGCTATGGCGTCTCGCGCAAGGCCCGCTTCTAATGCGATGATCCTCACGGCTTGTGTCAGCTCGATGTGTGTTGACCCCGTCCAGCGTCGCCGATGGCCCGCAGCCTTGGTCGGCCTTCCTCCTACCATGCGCTCCGAGGATCATCGGCCTTGGTCGCTCACGCGTGCGCGCCGCGCCGCGCGGCCCGAGCTGTCGCCGCCGCATGCCCGCAGCCTGCCTGCGGCCCCAGCAGGCGGCCCCCCGCCGGGTGGTCTGAGAAACATGGCAGCGCCGCGCCGGGCGCTCTCGGTCGGCCTGCTGTCCCTGGTGCCGGTGGCCGACGCGGCGAGGAGGTCACGCGAGCCGGCCGTGGCGGCGCCCACGAGGGGGGCGGCGTGATGGGCGCCGGCCTGCCAAGGAGGCCCAAAGGGCTCGAGCTATACAGGCCAGCACGGGTGCTGGCAGTGAGTGAAGGCGCACGTTCTCCAGACGGTGTGAACACACTCAGGGGCTTTTCTGCCTCTGTTCCAGGGAGCTGGGCTGGCGCGGCGGTCTGGCGGCTGCGCTGTCGCCGTCGCTGCCCCACCGTTGCCTCGTCACCGCCCGTGGTCTGGGCCGGCGTGGCCGTCTGGGGGTAATCTTGGGCGTCTTGGAGCCATTGTTCGGCGGCTCGGGGCCTTCTTGGGGCCCTCTGGGCTTGTGCGGGGGGCCCTCCTGGGCCCGGCAGCGTCACGCGGCAAGACGCGGGGAGCCCAAGGGGCACGCGACAGGCCCCGACGGATTTGAGAATGTGGGGCCGGGCCTTTGAAACTCCTCGGGAGTGACGACGGAGGCTCAAAGGGGCAGTGGAAGGACCTGAGGACACGCCCACTCCGTGCCCAGCGGCACGGTGGCGGGTGAACCCATACCATCCCAGCCAGCCGGGTATGCGACCTCCCTCCCCGTCAAAAAATTCGACGTGCGCACATGTGCTGATCAACAATCGCCAATGGTCAAGAACACCGCGCGACAAAAAATACAAGTGGCACGCGTGCCATGGCTCTTGCACCGAAAGAAAGGGGGAGGAGGCGGAGGGGGCGCGCTGGCTGGTGGGTGGGGTGATGGAGGGGGCACTCAGGATGGGGGGGCGGTGCCGTGCCGAAATAAAGGCGTCGGGGCGGAGGGGGCGCGTTGGCTGGTGGGTGGGGTGACGCAGAGGAGGCGCTCGGGATGGGCCGGGCGGCGCCGTGCCGAAAGCACGAGGTCAGGGCGGAGGGGGCGGTGCCGCGCCGAAACAAATGGGTCGGGGCGGAGGGCGCGTGCTGGCTGGCGGGTGGGGGGGTGCGGAGGGGGCGCGGGCGGAGGGGTCGCGCTGGCTGGTGGGTGTGAGGATGCGGAGGGCCTGTAGTAAGGGGTCGGGGCGTGGCGGTGCCGTCCCGAAACAAAAGGGGTCGGGGCGGAGGGGGCGCTCTGGCTGTCGAGTGGGGGATGTGGCAGAAGCGCGCGGGATGCGGGGGGGCGGTGCCGTCGTCGAAACAAAGGGGCCTGGGCGGAGGGGGCGCTCTGGCTGGCGGGTGGAGGGATGCTGAGGGGGCGCGCGGGAGGGGGGGGGGGCGGTGCCGTGCGAAATAAGGGTCCGGCGGAGGGCGCGCGTGGCTGGTGTTGGGGTGGGGGGGGCGCTCGGGATGGGGGGGCGCTTGGGATGATTGGGGGAGGTGCCCGCGCCGAAAAAACATGTCGGGGCGGAGGGGCGCGTGGTGGTGGGTGGGGGGTGCGCAGAGGGGGCGCGCGGGATGGGGGGGTGCCGTGCCGAAATCAAGGGGTCGGGGCGGAGGGGGCGCGCTTGCTGACGCGCGGGGGGGATGCGGAGGTGGCGCGCGGGAATGGGGCGGGCCGTGCTGAATTAAAAAGGTCGGGGCGGAGGGGGCGCGCTGGCTGGTGGGTTGGGGGGGCGGTGGTCTGGGTGGGTGAGGGGGGGGCGTGCCAAAATAAAAGAGTCGGGGCGGAGGGGGCGTGCTGATTGGTGGGCGGGGGGGATGCGGAGGGGGCGCGTGGGATGGGGGGGGTCCCGCGCTGGAAGAAAAAGGGTCGGGGCGGAGGAGGCGCGCTTGCTGGTGGTTGGGGGGGCGTAGAGGGGGCGCGCTTGATGGGGGGGGCCGTGTTGAAATAAAAAGGTCGGGACGGAGGGCGCGCGCTGGCTGGTGGGTGGGGGGGCGGTGGTCTGGGCGGGTGGGGGGTGCCGTGCCGAAATATAAACGTCGGGGCGGAAGGGGCGCGCTGGCTGGTGGGTGGGGGGATGGGGCAGGGGAGAGGGTGGCGTGCTGGGGGCGCGCTGGCTGGTGGAATGGGTGGGTGATGGAGGGGGTGCCGTGCCGAATGAAGGTGGTCGGAGCTCTAGACGCCCTGTGCAAGATAATGTCAAAATCCACACGCGCGCGGCGTCGCGCGCGCATGCCGAAATTCGTCAAACATTTTAGTTGGCGTAAGGAGTCAGAGCCGTGGCTCTCGAACACGTGTAAGAGCCATTTGTTTTGACTACATGGTTATTCAAAACATCTGCGCGTGCGCTCTTGCGAAGTCTTACGGCAACCATCAGCGTATCAACAGTGTCATCAAGTGCAACCAAGGCGGGCCTCTCGCGTGCGCGAGTCGAGATCATCCGAGCACGATCCCTGTCAAATACTAGCATGCGGGCCACTCGCGCCCGTCGGCCGCGCGCGCTTGCCGAAATGCTTCCAAGACCTTCATCGCCGACACGTGGACACCATCAGCGCCATCGGCCTGATCGGTATTGGCGCCGTCATTGGCCTTCCCGTCGTCACTGTCATTATCGGTACCAGCATCGCTACTATCATCTTTCTGCTGTTGTCGACGTCGCCATGATACCGCGGCCGCCCGAGCCACCGATTCGCAATGAAGTGCCCGCGCGTCAGCGCGGCGGCGAGACGCGCTGGGAAGTTCCCAGCGGCAAGCACCACCGCGGCCGCGTCGTTCGCGCCAGACTAGTTGGCCGCTCTCCGGTGCGGGTGGCAGGGCGGGGCGACTTCGCGAGCACAGGCGTTGAGAATTTCAAGTTCGGCAGGGTGGATAACACCACTGGACTGCGCAACGTAGATTGCCCAACATAGGTGGCATCACATAGATAACTCCACATATGTTGCACCACGTCCCACGTAGCTTGTACACCACAGACTGCACCACGTAGATTGTACACTTTACACTGCACCACTTGGGTTGTACAACGTCGGTTGCACCACATATATTGCACAACGTATACAGCACCACACATATCGCACCTTGTATAGTGTTTCACGCAGAGTGCCCCGCAACGATTGCACACCATAAGCAGCACCACAAAATATTGCACCACCTATTTTGCGCCACGCACACACACACACACACACACACACACACACACACATATATATATATATATATATATATATATATATCACAACACGAATCGTAACATAATCGCTGCACATCACAATTTGCATCATTTATATGTGTACACACATATGTAGTGCCATACATCGGTTCTTCCAATGAATTTACGCACCATGTTTGTCTATTCGAAATCTCCTAAAAATCGTCCCCCCGGGTCTGGCTTTTAAGGCGTTTTTTTTGGAAGCGGCGGGGTCCAGATTATTAGGGCAGTTTCTTTAAACCGAAGACGAAAAGGGGTCTGGAATATGAATGCCCCTCGTTGACAGGGGTTCCGGAACATTAGGTTGCCGTTGAAGGGTGTCCGGTTTTTCAGAGGCGGTCGATTATTTAAGGATTTCGAGTAGATGCGCACTTTCTGGGGACACGCGCTTGCGAACAGTGTCAACTTTTTGTTAGAACAGACAGCGTCATATGAGCAATAACCAGATTGGCTCAATCACGCCAATCCATTATGACAATACGAAACACATTGCAGTAAACGCAACCACCGGTTTTGCACGAACACCAGCTTCTTGAATTGGCGGCAGTTCTTCTAAACGGAAGCATTTTCACGACCAGGTGTCTAAGACGGCTTATTCGCTGCCCGGTGGGCTTTTCAGAAGCCTTCCCAGAAGCTCCACCGTCTTCTTAGAAGGCCGCCATTTTCGCGCCACCCCACCCCCCTGTGGGCGCCGCCAGCATCTCTTGCCGAGACTGGGACGCTGAGGTCGGACCAGGAGTACAACAAGAGCTCTGAGTCCGCGGAATTGCTCGAGAGCGTCAAGAGGACTGCTGGCATTTGGTGGGAATCTGTGGAGCCGGGTCTGATCAGCAACGAGTGGACGCAGCAGTTCGAGGTGGAGGAGGATTTCAATTGGCTCTTCGGGAAGAAGTACAAGTTCGAGCTGGAACAGTATGAAGGAGAGAGTTCGGGTTGGTTCAAAGGCAAGAGCGAAATCGACATCGACAAAAAGTTGCCCATGCGTGTGGAGCTTAGTTCGGGAAATATTGTAAGGGCGTGTTTAGCTTGTTTTTGTTCGATGATCGGGGACGTCAGCGTGGTCGAGTCTCGTAACGTGAAAATCGAATTGCCGTCCAATGCGTTGGATTAGTCGGGCGTTTTTCTTTGGATTCCATACGCCACGCCCGTAAGCACAAGCACCCGTTACAAATGCGGCGCCTTAGCTTTGTGGACGTCTAGATGTCTTCGGTCGGTCCAAACCCTCGAAAAGAGATGCCCAGTTAGTTTATAGCATATGCTAAGGTATCGAACCACACACTTTGACCATGTACGGAAGGATGTCTGTTTCAATTGGGAATAAAGAGTTCGACATGTACAAGCCCCACGCCTCGGGGACGAACATGTTTGGATTCTATTCGTGGCGAGTTGTGCGGAAGGGCGACGACGACAATATTTTGTTCACGATTCAGAAGTCTCACAAGGGTCTTCTCGGTTGGGGCAAGGCGTCTTGGAGGATCTTCCAGGGTCGCAAACGCGATGACAAGGTCATTTACTACGGTGTGGGTGACGCTGATGACCTGGACGAGCCTGAGTTTAAGTTCTACCGCAGCAAGAGTGACTACCAGGAGAATAAGAAGAAGTGGCTTGCCAAGATTGAGCACAAGGACGAAGACAAGACCTGGAGTGGAAACAGGGAGGACGAGTACAAGGTCAAGGTGAGGCCTGGCGAGGACGCGGCGATCATCCTCCTGGCAGTGGCCTGCCTTGACAGCGTGGCAGACGCCAAGCAGGTGGACGATCCTCACGATCACCATGACTGACCGCGAGGGCGCCCTGCTCGAGCGCCGACCCTGCAGCGGCTCACCACACCGCCCCTGTCCGTGGCAGCGCCTGGAAGCTCGGCCCGCGGTGCCTACGCCCCGCGCTTGACCAGCGGCCCGCAGCAGACTCTCAGCGTCTCGCCCGCGGCGCAAGAGGCGGGGGCGCGGGGAAGGGACAGCGCCGAGGAAGAGGAGGAGGAGGAGGAGGAGGAGCAGGAGGAGGTGGAGGAACAGGAGGAGGAGGAGCAGGAGGAAGAAGAAGAGGAGGAAGAGGGAGCGGGGGGAGACGCAGGGGGGAGGAGGAAGAGGAGGAACATCAGGGGACGAAGGACGACGAGGAGGATGACCAGGGGCCGGAGGGAGGCCAGGTTGCGCTGACGAGCCTGCACCAGTCCTTCCCGGCCCGAGCCCTCCACCGCCCCCAAGGTCATCTATGGGTATCCTTCCCAACTGCAGGAGGGGCCGCCCCACCCCCCCTGAACGACGAGCGCCCCCTGTGGGCCTGCCACTGCGAGACATCTCGGCCCACCCTCACGCGTTACATGGCCCCAAAGGGAGTTCCACCGCAGCCCCAGTGGCGACGTTCGCATGCGCCCGCCCCGCCAGATCTGGCACGCCCCTTCGCACGCTTCGTGGCCCCACAGGGAGCTCCACTGGAGGCCCCAGAGGCGACGTTCGCATGGCGGCCCCGGCCCATTTCGGCACACCTCTCACACATGTCGTGGCCCTATAGGGGGGTATACCCAAGGCGCCAGTAGCAGCGCCCGCATGGCCCCGTCCCATTTCGGCGCGTCCTTTACACGCTCCGTGGCCCCACAAGGAGATCCACCACATGCGATACCCACAACGGCGATACCCACAACTGCATATGGTTGGGTCCTTCGCCAAGGTAATTTTTGATTGAACAAAATGTCTCATGTATCTGTATAATGTATGATTATTGTGAAGGCCTTGCGGCTGGTGCCGCCGACCCTGAAGGCGACGACGACGAGGACGACGAGGAGGAGGAGGGGGATGAGGTGCAGGAGGAGAAGGCGGAGGACGCGGTGGAGCAGCAGGGGGAAGAGGAGGAGGAGGAGGAGGAGGAGGAGGAGGAGGAGGAGGATGCGGAGGAGGATGAGGACGGGGAGCAAGGGCAGGGGGAGGACGGGGGGGGAATGAGCAGTAGGAGGACGAGGATAATGGGAGTCGGAGGAGCAGGATAACGAGGACGCGGAGGAGGAGTACGGGGAGGAAGAATTCGAGGTAAGGTTGGGGCCTTCGGTGGGGCCTCTGGTGGACAGTTTTGGGGCGTTTGGGGAGACTCTTGGGGGGTATATTTGGGGCCTTTCGGGGGCGTCCAGGGGCTTCCTGGGGGCTTCTTTGGGGCGTCTTGGAGGCCTGCAGGGGCCTCCTGAGAGCTTCTCGGGGGCGAGGGCTCGAGATGTCCGTTCGGGTCCCCCGTCTGGGCACCCTCTTGGAGCCGTCTTGGGTGCCTCTTGGCCCGTCTTGGAGGCGTCTCGGGCCGTCTTGGGGCCCTCTTGGGCCATTTTGTGAACCTCGTGGAGGACTTTTGGGCCGTTTTTGGGCGATCTCGGGGGCCTCTTGGGCCGTCTTGGAGCGTCGGGAAGCGGACGAGGCGAGAACGCCAACATCTTTCAAACATCTAAGGGAAATGTTTGCCTCGACGGTTTTTTTTGGGGTGCTCCTGGAGGCCTCTTGGGGCGTCTTGGGCCGTCTGGAGGCCGGCAAGGCGTTTTGGACGGATCGTTCGGCGATTCGGGGCCCCCTTGGACCGTCTTGGGGGCCTCTTCGGGCTCTCTTGGCCCGTCCGGGGGCTTGTTTGGGACCCGGGAACCCTTGGGGGGGAGCGCATCGGGGTGGCGAACCCTCCCCCGAACCTCCCCCGGAACCCCCCTTACCGATGCCGTCCATGTCCGCGGGAGGGGGAAGGGGCGAGGGCCCTGCACGCGAAGCGGCGAAGCCGCCTAACACCCCCCCTCGCCGATCCTCCCGCGGCCAGCCGCCCCCGCTCCGGTCCCTTGGGCCCTCAGCGCGACGAAGTCGCGCATGCGGTCCTCGTCGCCGCCGCAGCGGCGGCGGAGGAGATCGGAGGCGGCCTCCATGGAGCCGGCGGCCGTGAGCTCCTCGAGCAGGCCAACGGCGCCACCAGGAGCAGCAGCAGGCGGCGCCAGCTGCGACTCCGCGCCCGCAGGCGCAGGACGACCAGCGGGAGGAGCAGCCGCGAGTACCGCTCCATCAGCACGAGCAGGCGCCGCGGCAGCAGGCGCTGGCGCACGCGCCACCGCCACCTCCGCCTCCGGCACACTCGACGGTGCGGGCGAGGGCGCGGGCCGCAGTGCGCGGTCGGCCCAGGTGTCGTCGCAGGCGCCGCGGGAGAAGCAGGCGGCTCCGCGGCTCCTCCACAATCGCGTCTAGCTACCGCCGCAGCGGGCTGCCGAGGCTTGCACGCCTCCATCTCCGCCACAGCAGCGCGGCACAGGCCTTCGGCCGTGCGCGGCAAGCGGCACGCCGCCGCTGCGCTCCGCGCGAGGCCCGAGGCCGCGTGGGATGCCAGCGCCGCGCCACGCGCGGCAGCCAGCGCATTATGCAGCTCCCGCTGCCCAGTCGCCATGTGCTCCAGGAACTGCGGCGGGCCGCGCGGCCCAGCGACCAGCGGTTTGGGCATGGCACAAAAGTTGGGAGGAGGAGGAGGAGGAGGAGGAGGAGGAGGAGGAGGAGGAGGAGGAGGAGGACGGAGGAGGACGGAGGAGGACGGAGGAGGATGAGGAGGAGGAGGAGGAGGAGGAGGAGGAGGAGGAGGAGGAGGAGGAGGAGGAGGGAGGAGGAGGAGGAGGAGGAGGAGGAGGAGGAGGAGGAGAGGAGTAGGAGGAGGAGGGGAGGAGGAGGAGGAGGAGGAGGAGGAGGAGGAGGAGGGGAGGAGGAGGAGGAGGAGGGGGAGGAGAGGAGGAGCAGGAGGAGGAGGAGGGAGGAGGAGGAGGAGGAGGAGGAGGAGGAGGAGGGAGGAGTAGGAGGAGGAGGATGAGGAGGAGGGAGGAGGAGGAGGAGGAGGGAGGAGGAGGAGGAGGAGGAGGAGGAGGATGACGACGAGGAGGAGGAGGAAGGAGGAGGAGGAGGAGGAGGAGGAGGAGGAGGAGGAGGAGGAGGAGGAGGAGGAGAGAAAATGGGAGGGGGAGGAGGGGAGAGGAGGAGGAGGAGGAGGAGGAGGAGGAGGAGGAGGAGGAGGAGGAGGAGGAGGAGGAGGAGGGGGAGGCGGGTGACTATTGTAAAACCAAGACGCATCAATGACGTTGCAATGAACCCTCTTTCCACGTTGTGTTTCCACAGGTACATCAGAAGACAACCGTTTCATACATTGCAATCGTGCCAAAGTGCCGTGCCTGGGACTCCAACGCCGTGGATCAACTCGACTGCTGCGCCGTGGCAATTCTGAACCGTGCCAGAACACCATTCTAAGACTTTCGCACTGCGACTCGACTTTTCTGTTGCGTGTTGACATTCTGAAATTGCGCCACAACGCCATTCCTGGGAGTTCGGCCGCACTAATTCTTAGAACGGTTGTGCACTTTTGACACGAGTGTGCGCGGCGCTACGGAGATAGCCACATTTTGAAAATGAGCCTCCCTGAATATTGAATCTGCTGCAAACTTTGAGGACGATTCTGCGCGGCGCTACTGCGAGAGCCATATCTTGGAGGCCACCTGCCCTCCATCCGCGAAGCTGTCGCACGCGTTTAACACGAGTGCCCGCGGCGCGAAAGCGAGAGCCACAGTGATGGAAACGACCCGCCCCGCATCCGGGAGGCCGCTGCAGACCTCCAGCTTCAGGATCCCTCCTGGCGGCGCGGTCTCGGGCGAGACGCCTGGCCCGCCCCGCCGACACACTCTCGGGTGCGCTCCCTCGGCGGGCCGACCCTCCTCTTTCTCCTCCTCCTCCTCCTCCTCCTCCTCCTCCTCCTCCTCCTCCTTCTCCGTCCTCCTTCCCCGTCCTCCTCCTCCTCTTCCTCCTCCTCCTCCTCCGTCCTCCTCCTCCTCCTCCTCTTCCTCCTCCTTCTCCTCCTCCCCTGCCTCGGTTGCGCCGAGCCGCTCGTGAGGAAGAGGGCTGCGCAGGAGGGAGCCAGAGGAGCGGGAGCCCAGCGCCGGCCGAGGACGCGCGCAGCACCGGCCGCGGCCGCGGCAGGGGCGCCAACAGCAGCGGCGGCAGCAGCAGACAGGCTCCCGGCGGGTCTGCTGGTCTGCTCCCGGCGGGTCTGCTGGTCTGCCCCCTCTGGTCGCGAAGCAATAACAGGGGGCGAGAAACTGGGGGGGGGGGGCGGGGAGGTGCCCCTTGCGGGCCCTCGAGGCCTCCTCCTGGGGCCCTCATGGGGCAGCTGTAGGGGGCCCTCAAGGGCATTTGTTCCGCAGCCCTCGCTCCCCCCCCCCCTCCCCCCATCTATCGCCCCCCATGGATTTTGCCGAGCGCGTTCCGCTACTCGCAAAGTGACTACTCGCGGAAACGTCAGAGATAAAGCATGCATGTTGTCTTAGATGCCATGGGTCGTAAATCCCCCGCGGCGGATCCAGGCCATTTGAGCGGAGTTACTTTGCGAGTAGTGGGATGCACTTGTCTATAATTCGCGCCCCATACGCCGAGGAGGAGCGAGGAGGAGCGAGGAGGAGGGAGGAGGAACGAGGAGCGAGGAGGAGGAGGCGGAGGAGGAGAAGGAGGAGGAGAACGAAGAGTTGGATGAGGAGGACGAGGAGGAGGAGGAGGAGGAGGAGGAGGAGGAGGAGGAGGCGGAGGAGGAGGAGGAGGAGGAGGAGGAGGAGCAGCAGGAGGAGGAGGAGAAGGAGCAGGAGAGGAGGAGGGAAAGTGAGAATCCCATGGCCCTGCCACGCGTTCGTGACTAGGGAAAACTGAAATGGTGAGAATCCCATCGCCCTGCCACGCGCTCGTGATTGCCATGCTCAGCGTTTTTGATGCTGTTGCTACGTAGTCAACATGAGATGATAGCAACTTCGATTCGCAATTTCCCCCGGGGATTATGAAGTTCGGCCTCCGCGCCCCTCTCCACAATTAAATCCGAGTGACACGGAATAAAAAAGATAGAGGGAGGAAAGGGGGGATGATTCATTATCCAGGGCACTGGTACATGCAGCGACGGGACCAATTGAACCTGGCGGGACACCTTGTCTCGACAGACAAACACACGTGGATCAGTGCAGTGCTGCAGTGGGCCCGGGTACACCGGCGCAACCAGCGCGAACACCAGGGGGCAAACCCAAGCGAAGGTGGGCCGAGGCTCTTACGACTGCAGTGCTGAAGCACAGCTGTGGCAGAAGCGGCTGGACAACAGTTGCGCAACATGCATCGGAGTGGGTGCGGGTTGGACAACTGTACATTTTTGGAGAGGAGGAGGATGGAGGATGGAGGATGGAGGATGGAGGATGGAGGATGGAGGATGGAGGATGGAGGATGGAGGATGATGATGAGGAGGAGGAGGAGGAGGAGGAGGAGGAGGGAGGAGGGAGGAGGGAGGAGGGAGGAGGGATGAGTCTCAGAGGCCAGCGCCCCGGCGCCCCCTCCCAGTCCTGCGCGCGGCCGCCTTCTTCGGGCGATCTGGGAGCTGTCCTGCCCTGGCCTGTCCTGCCCCCCTGGCCAAGGCAGGAGGGCGTGTGCACCGCTCCAGGGCCCAGGCTGAGCTCGGCCTGGAGCAGCGGCTACGTCTAGACCTCGCCGCCCTGCAGTGCGCTCCTGCGCCTGCTCCCGCTCCTTCTGCCCCGACGCCTCCTCGTCCTCCCTTCAGGGGTGGTTTCGACTCCTCCGGCTCGATGCGATCCGATTTCGATCGATCCCGATTCCGACTCCGCTTAGAGTGCGGCTTCCCGTTGGGAGATCGGCTAATCAATGGAGGCCATGCTGGCCCACCAGCTTGCCGATTTCCGCCGATTCGACCTATTCCGGCTCGGATGCCGATTTCCCCGCCGATCCGACACATTTCGATCGCCGAGCCGATTCATCGATTCGACTCCCTGGGCTGTCCTGGGCCAGACGTTGGAGTGCCCGGCGCCCTCCGTCCGTGCCAACTCTATCGTGATGTGCGCCGTGCCGCATACAGGTTGATCAGAAGGGAAAAAGCACACGCACAATTAGTCGTCGATTTCCCCGAAAATATGGGAACATATGGGAAGTGTGGGGGAAGACAAAAACCCAGAAAATATGGGAAAATATGGGGAATCCTGTCATTTGTGTGTATTTAATTTTGTGTCCCAGGGTCCCTTCAGTTGAGGATGTCTCCAGCGAGAGCCCCAGCTTGCGCAGGAGCCGCCGACCATGCGTGCGCGTGCCCAGCACCTGGAAGACCGATAGGCGCCCGCCGCTGCTCCAGCCGATCTGAAACTGCGTGGCGACGCCGCGGTTGGCCTCTCGTGGGAGCGCGCCGCTTCGCCCATGCCTGGGGTGCGGGTGCAGGGTTTCTCCGAAGGGCTTACGTGACCCGTCCTCCTCCTCCTCCTCTTCCTCCTCCTCCTCCTCCTCCTCCCTCCTCCTTCCTCCTTCTCCCTCCTCCTCGTCCTCTTCCTCCTCTTCCTCCTCCTCCTCCTCCTCCTCCTCTTCCTCCTCCAACTCCTCCTCCCCCTCCCCCTCCCCCTCCTCCACCTCCTCCCTTCTCCTTTTTCCTCGGGCCGCCTGCGGCCCCAGGGGACACCGTGCAGGTGCGGGGGGCTCGCGTGCCATCCGTTTCCGCAGCCGTCTGGGCTCGAGGCCGCGGGCCCGACCGCAGCGCCGCGTCCAGCCACCGGCGCCGAGGGTGCGCGCCGAGGAGCAGCCCTCGGCGCGTCGCCGTTTCTCGGAGTGCCGCTGGCGTGCCGCCCCGGGCCCCCCCCGGACCGTAGACGCGCTGACGGCGATGCAGGTCACGGCGCTGTAGGTTTCGGCACTGTCAGGTGGGAGTGCCTCGTGGCCAAACCGATCGTAAGACATCGTGGTTCGTGCTTCCCTAATTACCATTCGCCGCGTCGTTTCAGCTCGATGCACTCGCAGATTTGAAGAAATGCAGGAAAGTGTGGTTCGTGATTTCCTACAATTTCTTCTGCGCGAGCTCGGCGTCACAAAAATCGGATTCCCAACATCGCCGTTAACCAACATCGCCGTTAGCGCGGCCTTGGCCAGACCCCCTCGCGTCGTGACAAGGTTCGGTGGAGGAACAGGTGCCCATAGCCCAACCCGTCCGTCGTTTCCCCCTCTTGGGGTCTCCTGGGAGGCCCTCGTCGCCACCGCTGGCTTCGCCTCGGAATGTTGCCCAGGACGCACCCCGAGAGGGGTCCGGGGAGCAGCGGCATCGGTACGTTCTTGTATGCCCAAAAATCACGGCGGGACGTTTCTTGTTTGCCGTTTTCGGGCCCTCGCCGAGCCCAGGGCCGTCAAGGAACGTATCGGGATACAAAAAAAACAGGTCCTGGGGAAGGGGTCGTGACCTCTGTTGGGGGGCGCGCAGTGCGGGGACGACGACTCGCGGGGCATCACGGGGTGCAGAAGGGGGCCCTTGAGGGCCCCTAAATGGGGCCCTTTGGGCCCTCGAAGGGTGCCCCCCGGGTCCCCCCCAAAAGGGGCGGACACCTCTCTTCCCCCCCAATGTCCATCGCCCCCCCCAGTAATTCGCGCCCAGCTCTGGGGGCCGACGCTGGGAGGAAGTCACGGCGTCGGGGGTCCGGGGCCACATGCTCCGATGGCCCGCGGCGGCAGGGCGGGCGCGCGGCGGGGCGGCGCCTCTGGGGAGTGCCCCCAGATAGGTCGGGAGGAAAACATGTGCACACAAGCGCACACACACACACACACGCGCACGCGCACGCACACGCACACGCACACGCACACGCACATGCACACACGAACGCGCACGCACACGCACACGCACACGCACACGCGAACGCGCACGCACACGCACACGCGCAAGCACACGAACACGCACACGTACACGCACACGCACACACGAACGCGCACGCACCCGCACACGCGCAAGCACACGAACACGCACACACACGCACACGCACACACGCGCACACACGAACACGCACAAGTACACGCACACACGCACACACGCACACACGCACACACACACACACGCGCTCACACGCACGCACGCACGCACAGGCACGCGCACACAAACACACTTACGCACACTTACACGCACACACACACGCACACACGCACAAACACACGCGCACACACACACATACACACGCACGCAATCATACACGCACGCGCGCACGCGCGCACGCGCACACGCACACACGCACACACACACACGCACACACAAGCACACAAGCGCACACACAAGCACACAAGCACACACGCACGCACACACACACACACACGCACACACCCAGGCACACAAACACACAAACACACACACACAACAAACACACACCACACAACACACAATACACGCAAACAACACACAACTCACACCCCACCACACAACACACATCACACACCACACGGCACACACCACACAATCCACACACGCACACACGCACACGCGCACGCACACGCAACACACATACACACACGCACGCACGCACCCACGCACGCACGCACGCACGCATGCAGACACACACACACACAGACACACGCGCACACACGCACACAAGCACGCCCGCACGCACGCACATACCCACCCACCCACCCACCCACCCACGCACGCACGCACGCACGCACGCAGACACCCACCCAAGCACAGGCACACACACACACACACGCACGCACGCACGCACGCACACGCCCACACACATACACACCACACGCATACATATACACACACGCACACACATACACATACACCCACGCCCACATGCACACGCGCACGCACACGCGCACGCACACGCACACGCACACGCACACGCACACGCACACGCACACGCACGCACACGCACGCACACACAAACGCGCACACACACACGCAGGCACACATACACACCTACGCACATACACATATACGCGCACTCGCACACGCACACGCACACGCACACACACACACACTTACACCACACACCACACACACACTCACACCACACACCACACACATACACACCACACACACACACACAAGCTTCACTTTCCAGGAAATCACGGGAAACTGCAGGAAGGGTGGGGGGAAGACGAACATGCAGAGATTATTGAAACATATCCAGTTGGCTACGGCAAGTCTAGCCTTGGATATGTTTGGCTATATAGGTGGAGGCCTCTCGGGGGCCTGTTGGAGGCAGTGATGATTCCTCTTGGGGCCGTCTGGGGGCTTCGTTGGTGCCTCTTTTGGAGTCTCCTGGGGGCGTCCTGTGGGCCTCTTGGGGCCCCTCGGAGGCCTCCTGGGGCCTCTCGGGGACTTTTTTGAAAATATTGAAACATATTGGGAGGCTGTGCCCTGAGCTCCGACGCAATGAACCTTTTCCTGGCGAAGGACCCAAGCATATGCAGTTGTGAGTGCCGCAGTTGTGAGTATCGTCTTCGGTGGAGCTCCCTCTGGGGCCACGAAACGTGTGAGAGATTTGCCGACATGGGGTGGAAACGCATGCGAACCCTGCCACCGGGGCCTTCGGTGGAGCTCCCCATGGGGCCACGAAACGTGTGAGGGGCGTGCCGAAATGTGGGGTGGAGCCGCATGCGAACCTTGCCACTGGGGCCTTCGGTAGAGCTCCCTATGGGGCCACGACACGTGTGAGGGGTGTGCCGAAATGTGGGTGGAACCGCATGCGAACCCTGCCACTGGGGCCTTCAGTGGAGCGTCCTATGGGGCCACGAAACGTGTGAGGGGTGTGCCGTTATGCGCGTGGAACCGCATGCGGTGTGGGTAGGCGGTTCAAGGATGGGTTCTTGAGGGATGGGGTCTTGTGGACGAGGTGCCTCGCACGACGCAGGTCCACCCCTGGGTCCCTTGCTCTTCTTAGGTCCCCATCCCTCAGGGCCCCATTTATTGAACCGCCCGGTGTAGGTCGGCGGTTCAAGGATGGGTTCCCGAGGGATGGGGTCCTGTGGACGAGGTGCCTCGCACAACGCAAGTCAATACCTGAATCCCATTCTCATCTTAGGTTTCTATCCCTCAGGGCCCCATCGTTGAACCACCTGACGTAGGTCGGCGGGTTAAGGATGGGTTCCTGAGGGATGGGGTCCTGCGGACGCAGGTCCACCCCTGGAATTCTCTCTCATCTTAGGTCCCCAGCCCTCAGGGCCTGTCGTTGAACCACCCGATGTAGATCGGTGGTTCGAGGATGGGTTCCTGAGGGTTAGGGTCTAATGAACGAGGCGCCTCGCACAACGCAAGTCCACCCCTGGATCCCTTACTCGTCGTAGGTCCCCATCCCTCAGGGCCCCATCCCTCAGGGCCCCAGCCGCCCGGCGTAGGTCGGCGGTTCAAGGATGGGTTCCTGAGGGATGGGGTCCTGTGGGCGCGGTGCCTCGCACAACGCGAGTCCACCTCTGGATCCCTTGGTCGTCTTAGGTTCCCATCCCTCAGGGCGCCATCGTTGAACCGCCGGGCGTAGGTCGGTGGTTCAAGGATGGATTCCTGAGGGATGGAGTCTTGTGGACGGGGTGACTCGCACAACATATGTCCACGCCTGGATCCCTTGCTCATCTTAGGTTCCCATCCCTCAGGGCCCCATCATTGAACCACCCGGCGTAGGTCGGTGGTTCAAGGATGGGTTCCTGACAGGAGGGGTGGGGTCCCTTTGGCGTGGTGCCTCGCACAACGCATGTCCACCCCTGGATCCCTTTTTCATCTTAGGCCCCCATCCCTCAGGGCCCCATCGTTGAGCTACCCGATGTAGGTCGGTGGTTCAAGGATGGGTTCCTGAGGAGTGGGGTCCTGTGCACGAGGTGCCTCGCACAACGCAAGTTCACCCCTGGATCCCATTCTCATCTTAAGTTCCCATCCCTCAGGGCCCCATCGTTGAACCATCCGATGTAGGTCGGTGGTTCAAGGATGGGTTCCTGAGGGATGGAGCCTTATGGACGAGGTGCCTCGCACAACGCAAGTCCACCCCTGGATCCCTTTTTCATCTTAGGTTCCCATCCCTCAGAGCCCCATCGTTGAACCACCCGGCGTAGGTCGGTGGTTCAAGGATGAGTTCCTGAGGGATGGTGTGATGTGGACGAGGTGCCTCGCGCAACGCAAGCCCACCCCTGGGTGGCTTCCTAGTCTTCGGTCCCCACCCCTCGGGGCCCCATCTTCTCGGCATCGCTCGGGCGCGTGCCGAGGGCCCTCGCGGGGCATCCTGGATCTTCGAGCCACAAGACATTTTCACGCACGACGCTGACACATGCACGGGGAAGGGGCGCCCGAGCGACGGGATGCAGCTACCCGATGCACGCGCAGTCCTGCACTCCCCTGTGCGGGTCGTGCAGGTGCGCTCGCCTGAGCCGGGCACCGCGCCTCGAGGCGTTGGGCGCCGCCGCGCGGCGCCGCGACCGCTCAGCGCGCGCGTCGCACAACAAACAAGCCTTTGAGCTACCGGAGCGCAGTGGAGACCCATGCCAAGAAACGCCCTGCTTGTCTCCAGGGTGCCTGGGGTTCCGATGGTTTTGCGATGGGAGGCGCGACGTTCCCACGCCACGCATCGAGGGGCGCCCTGGGGTCTCGGGGTTGGGTTTCTTGTCGAAGGTTCCTTGCGGACTGGCCTCCATGCCCAGACCCCCGACGTCATGATTTTGTTCACGACGTCGGCCCCCAGCGGTCTGGGCCCATTCCCCGGGGCCGGCTTTTCGTCCTGAGTCGTCTTCTGACGGGTCCCGAGGCCTGGCAGGGGCCCCCAAGAGGCCGAAAATAGTGACCCCCCCCCGTCGTGATTTTGCCATGACTCGAGGGGGTCTGGGCTGCAGGGGCGAAGCTGCACCCGGTGGACTGGTTCCTGGCCTCGGCGCTGCCGTGGGCCGTCCTGGTGCCCGGCGGCCTGCCCGCGGAGCTGGCCGAGCTGTTCCGCCGGAATGGCGGGGGGCAGCTGGCGCTGCACGCGCTGCTCGTGCAGCTGCCGGTCATGGTGGGGCATTGATTGTCCACCACCACCACCATGTGTAGGACGGGGGAGGAGGGAGGATGAGGAGGTCCTCCTCCTCCTCCTCTTCCTCCTCCTCCTCCTCCGCCTCCTCTTCTCATCCTCCTCCTCCTCCTCATCCTCATCCTCAACGTCATCCTCATCCTGTCCTCTTCCTCTTCCCCCTCCTCCTCCTCCCCCTCTTCCTCCTCCTCCTCCTCCTTTTCCTCCTCCTCCTCCTCCTCCTCATCATCATCATCATCCCCCTCCTCCTCCTCCTCCTCCTCCTCCTTTTCCCCCTCCTTTTCCTCCATCTCCATCTCCTCCTCCTCCTCCTCCTCCTCCTCCTTCTTCCTCTCCCACATGCGGTAGTCGCGGTGGACAATGGGCCCATCAGGTCATGGCGTGCGACCGGACAGCGGGGCTCACGCAACTCGCCCCACCATCGCCGGTGTAGGCCTCCCGGGAGGCCATCGCCGCGGCCATCGCCGCCGCCGCTGAATCCGCTCCGAAATCCTTATCAAAGCGCACCCAGTCGGGAGCGGTCCGGGGACTCGGGACCCCCTCGGGTCAGGGAAAGATCACGACGGGAGGTTCTTCGCCATGTTCGGCTTCTGGGTGCCCTGGCGCCGGGCCCTGGGGCAGTCAGAACATTGCTCGGGAGGAAGCGCCGGTCCGGGGGAACGGGTCCAGACCTCTCGGGGTCGACGCCGTGGAACAATCGCGACGTCGGGGGTCTGGCGACATGGCCCGAACGGGGCTCGTATACTCCACCCCCCACTGAGGTCACCCCCCCATTGCCGCCCGCCCGGTCACGGGAGTCAGCGCCAACGGGGGTCAGCGAATGTCAGCCAATCCCACGTGGCTGACCCGGGCTTGGGAGCCGCGTGAGGCCGATCCTCCGTGTCCGACTTCCGCTGGCCCGTTTCGGAGCTATTCGGCGGCCGGCCCGGCTTCGCCACCAGGCCCTGGCCGACCCGGGTTTGGGCTGACCCGGGCACCGGTGCGTGTCCGAGGATGGCGTACAACGATTTGGGCTGGCCGCTGTGCCTCGTGCTGCTGGGGCTGTACGGCGCCTGCTCCGGCCAGGGCGGCTGGGCCCGCAGGCTGGGCATGGGCTGCTGCTACGTTGTGCACGGGCTGCGCATGTTGGTCGCGGCCGTGTGCCACTTTGGTCGGGCGACTGGCTGGACGTTCGTCTTCGAGGAGGATCTGACCAGGTGTGCACGAGCGGCGAGCGTATTCATGTCCATGCCCTCGCGGTCTGGATTCCGGGGCGGGGTCCCGAGGATACGCGGTCGCACGGATACGTGCTGCGCGTGGTGTCCGCGAAGAAAGGCTCCTTTTACGCGGGGTTGCGGCCCAGGAGCCCGGCCCGCGAGGCCGTGGATACGGAGATACTTTTCGCCCGCGAGGTATCAGTACGCTCGGGTGAGCTGGGTGGATTTCCACCAGAAGCCTCCCGGGATGTGGTGGTTCAAGCGGCAGTGGGACAGCTTTCAGCAGGGGATGTCCACCATCTTCGGGCTTGCGGTGCCCATGCTGCTCAGCGCCTGGAACCCAGCGGAGCACTTGCATCCTGTGGAGTTGCTCGGCTGGGGACTGTGGGTCTTCATGGGTGAGGAACATCTGCGCATCCGTGGCTTCGCGGGCCGGGCCCCTGGGCCGCGACCCCGCGGATACGGCGCGTTGTTTCGCGGACGCCCCACGCAGATCCCGAGCATTTGTTTTTTTGGTGGAGGGCAAAGGGTGAAATCCGAAATGCCGTTTCGATGGATTTCCGAGGCTTGAGTCTGCAAAAGGTGAATCACGAGACGGCTTCATCTTCGAGGTGCCGAATCCCCTGTGGATTCCGTCCTGAGCCCCTCGCACCCCGAGAAAATGCTCCGGGATGTCGCGCCCCAGAGTGCAGAGACAGCGGGGGCGCGGCTGCGGATATACGTGTGCGCCGCTCGTGAGAGGCCTCGTTCTGGGCGCTGGAGAACCTGGCGGACCACCAGAAGCGCCGCTTCCTGGCGGAGTGCCGGCGGCGGGACGCCACGGCCGTGACCGAGGCGGAGCGCGAGGAGCTCCGGGCCGCCACGCTGGGCCTGTCGCCCTGGGACGCGCCGGAGTACTGGCTCTGGGCGCGGTGCCGGCACCCCAACTACTTCTTCGGCGGCAGGTCGTGGGGGCCTGGTGTGCAGTCGGGGCGCTGCAGAAGGAGCCCGTTTCGCTGGGGAGGGGCTCGGTGCTCCTTGCCTGTTCTGCAGCTTGCCTTCGGTTTTCCGGAGGTTTTCCACCGGAAGTCGAAGTTTGACTTGTGGGCAAAAGGGGCCTCGTTCCTTACTTATCGTTCCTTAGGTCAACGCCCCGACGGTGCCCTCGTAGTTTCAAGTCGGGCCTGTCCCTTTGCAGGAGGAATATCCAAAGATGATTTAACGATTCTTGTATTGTTTGTCCACCATAGTTTTTTCTTATCATTTGCAAGCTTATGTTTGATTATTTTCGTATGTTTGAGCATTGTTGAACTATTGTGTCGTACGTTTGAACAATATTTGAACATGTTTTCTTTATTTTGTATTTTTCGTCCAAAATCCGCCTGTAGGGGGACATGCCCGACGTAATCTTAGTTCCGTCTGTGGCGTCGTCTAAGAGTCGATGAGATAGCGCCGATTCAGCGCCGGTGACCGTCGATCAGCGCCGATGTAGCGTTGCCCAGCGCCGATTTGGCTTTGACGGGCGCCGACTCGCACTCGCCCACGAGATGCTGTGGGAGGCCCCCGGGAGTTGCCGCCGAGTGCCTCTGCGAGTGGATGTGCTGGGTGAGCCTGTCACTCGGAGGAGGGCCCGTACGGAGACCGCGGCGGCCCGCCCCGCCCAGCCCGACGAGTCCCCTCGAGCTCGGGCCGCCGGACCCGTCTGGAGCCGTTTTTCTCGGGGGCCTTAAGACGGGGGCCACTGCAGACCCAAACCTTCTCAAGTCGTGACAAAAATCACGACGGGAAGTTTCGCGTTGTTTTCGGCCTCCGGGGGCCCTCACTGGCCCTCGGGACCGTCAAAAAGGGACTCCAGACGAGAAACCAGTCCTGGGGAATGGGCCGAGACCTATGGGGGTCGCATCAGGAAAAAATCATGACGTCGGGGGTCTAGGGACGGGGGTCGCTGCAATCGAGGGTCAGCCAGAGCGCCCGATCTTGCGGGATCCCGCAGGGACAGGGTCGCATCGACCCAGGCTCGGGTGCAGGATCCTGCGGGAGCTTCCAGGACCCTTCGCGTTGACCCAGGCTTGGGCGCAGGATCTTGCAGGATCTTGCAGGACTCTGCCAGGCATGACTGACTCGGGTCTGGATTGACCCAGGTCAGATGAGGAGGGGAAAAACACACACACAAACACAATTAATCGTCGATCCCCAGGAAAATATGGGAAAACATGGGAAGTGGGTAGGAAGACGAAAACCCAGCAAATCTGGGAAGATATTGGGAATCCTGTTATTTGTGTCTATTTATTTGCGTGTCCCAGGGCCCCTTTAAGAGACCCGATGTCCGAAACGGAGCCAGCCGTGGCGAAGGAGGAGGGCCGCCGTCGCCTCGACGTGGCCCCCCTCCGGCCATCCCTTGCCGCCGCGCCGTCCCTGTGCGCCCTCGCCGACCGAGGGTGCCCCGCCTGGAGGGTCTGCGCGCTGGCGCTGATCTCGAGGGAGGAACAGCGGCATGAGCACAAGCTCTCGGAGGTCCGACCGGATCTTCGGAGGAGGGAAAGACACCCATGCCGCTGCTGCGCGGACCTCCGAGAGCGTGTGTGAGTGCAGCCTTTTGCTCCCCGGTGATGCTTCTGCACACCCCGCGGGTCCTCTACAACTGCCTCGTGCACTGGACGGGCGCCGCCGCGGCGGAGTACTACTCCGCAAGGAAGCGGCCCGGCTACCGCGAGTACCAGCGCACCGTCCGGTGTTTCTTCCCCGTGGAGCTCCCTATCGTCGACCACCATCGTGGAGAAGAGAAAGCGGCGTCATCGGAGGCCTAGAGTCGGCGTCCCCCAAGATACTAATATTATGTGTGCGTCCCCCTTCCAGGGGCGACGCGCGCACCGAGAAATCTTATATTATATGCGGCGTGGCGGCGGGCGCTTTCTGGCCACACCGCTCGGGAAACGGTGCACTACAATATGGGTGTATACTATATGTTTGGGTCGGACGCGCGCCTCCGAGGAGGACATGTAGTGTCAGTATGTCTCTGCGCGTCCCATAAAGGTTGTCACCAACACCAGCTGCGGCGGCTGCCTCCACCGAGGGAGAACGATTTTAATCTCGGTGATGGCATTGCTCGGGCTTCTCAATGTGGCTGGAACGAATACCACCAGAACCAGAATCCAGGATCATCCCTCCTCAGTGGATGCAACCCTCTGTGTTGATGGTGGTGCCAATTTCCCAGGCCCCCAACATACTTTCGGAGGTCCGCGCGAGTCCTTGCCTCGGCGCTGGACCCCCCGTCAGCGCCTTCGGCGCCGCCCCTGGCTTGCTCCGCGCGCCGCCGGGGAAGGAGGAGCTCAGCGCCGGTCCGAGCACTCCGCGCGGACCTCCCAACGTGGTTACAGTCCAGGCGCTGAACTAAGGACCGATTTGGTCTCGGAAGTCGAGTCGGGGCTCGTTTTCAGAAGCTGTTCGCCCGCTTTGGAACGCAAGAAGCGATGCCAACGCGCTGCGTGTCAGCTCGGCACTGTGGGCCCACTGTTGGGCGAGCGTGTCGCGCCAGGCCCGCTTTTCAGGCTGCGTGCCGAGCTCCGGGGAACAATTGTGTGTCGCCTGCGCCGACATTTGCGCGTGAGCTCCCCGCGTAAGGTCGGGCGTCCGCGCTGGCGGCCCGCGTTGGCCACCCCGTAAGGCCGCCATGCCATCTTGCATAACTATGCGGCTCGTTTGTGTCCATCGCCCGGGCAGGTTGTTCATCGCCCCTTGCGGTAGCACGACGACTGCACATCGACCGCGAGCCCAGGGGGTGAAGTGAGAAGAGGCGGGCCTTCTCCCAGGGCTCGGGCTTCCCCCGATCTTCTCGGAAGTCTTCGGAGCCTCCCCCGAGGACGCAGAAGCTCTCTCAGAAGGCCAGGGGGCTTCTGAGAAGCCCCGCCGCCTTCTGAGGAGGCCTTCTTCTTCTCAATTCCCCCCCTCGTCCGCCGAGGGAAACGGGTCCTGGTCCTTTGGGGCCTTCCCCAGGACGAGTTTCTCACCTTGAGTCGTTTCTTGACACTCCCGGGGCCCGTGGAGGGCCCCGAGAGCCCGAACACGAGGACCCGCTTCCCCCACGGCGAAGATCACCAACACCACCAAGCCACCCCAACTCAACCCGAAGGCTCGAGGGTGGATAGAACCCCCACCCTGACACGTCGATTAGTGAATTGTCCGTTTCTGGTTCTCGAGAGGGCGCCGCGGCCGTCATTTTCCAGGCCTGCGCCCGCTAGGTTTGGGCCCGAGGTCGTTTTCACTAAACCACGTTTTGCTAAAGGGGGTCCTGTCCATCCCCGAAAGGGCCCCGATGTGCCCTCCATTCCCAGTAGGGGGGGGGCCGGGGAACATTGAAAAAACATCTGAAGCCCGTCCGCCCCCCCAACCCGAAATTCGGGTCTTCGGGTTGGGTCGGGGTGGCCTGGTAGGTAGTCCGTCAGTCGGCTTACCCTGCGGACCCCCCCACGGGTCTGGGGACCCCGCGGGGAGACAGAGCGCTGCCGGGACGGCCTCCAGACGGCCCGGCCTGGCCTCCCGGAACGGCCCTCCGCGGCCGAAGGAGGAGCCGCCATAGGGTTCAGTCGGGCTGGTCCCTCTACAGGAGGAATGTTCAAAAATAGGTTCAAAATTGTCTGGTGACGATTTTTGGAGTATTTTTGTTTGGCCATTTTTGAATCTATTTTTGACTATTTGTAAATTTTTCCTCGAAAATCCCCCTGTATGGGGGACAGGCCCGACTTAACCATCGGGGACAGCCAGGACGGCCCGACGGGCCCCCCGGGCGCCGTCTTCTCTTCCGGCCCTCGCCGCGCGGGCTGGCCGCGCCCCGCCGCCGCCGCCGCGGAGGCGCCGGAGGCGCCCGCGGGCGCGGCGCCCGCCGGCGCAGCGACCCTCGGGCGGCCGGTGAGCGGCCCCCCGTCGTGACCCCTGACGCACGCGCCGCGCAGAGGAGTCGGAAACTGGTCGGGCATGGCCAGGACCCCGGGTAAGGCAGGGGTGACCAAAAATTGCAGAGTTTGCGTTCCAGGGCATTTTCTTTTGCGGCGTTGGGCGCCCTGGCGCGGACGGCCGAACGACCCCTGCAGCGGGACGCCCTGCCCACGCGGTCGGCGCCGCCAAAACTGCGCGTTCTACCGCGCAAAGTGCGCACCGAAAGACCCGGTTGGTGGTAGGGCCCCAGAGCCTTCGAAGTTGCCAGAATCAGTAAACCAGGTTTGCCATAAAGCTGGTGTGTTTTCGGGTGACGGCAGTTCCGGTTAGTAGAAATGGGACGGGGGGGCGGGCGCCCCCGGTACAGATCACTCAACCAGGTTCCACTAAACCCAGTTCTACCAACGCCCGAACTGGAGCATATACATTACCAGTGGCGGGCGGTTTGTCAATTCCAGGACTTTTTTCAGGGTCGGGGACGACGTCGGGGTGGTGTGGTGTATACGTTTGTCCCCGTTCTCCCGTGGGAGCAACAACAAATGCATACACCAGGATGGCGTATACACCATAATCCGTTTTCTTGTGCGAATCCCAGTGCGGGACTGGAAAAAAGCATCGGTGTATAAAGTTCGGTTCCTTGGGAAAGGGGCCAGACCATCCCCGTCCATGGCGACCCCCTCGTCTCGCACCAAGGCGTATGGATGCGGCCGGAAGGGAGCTTGAGAGGCGAGGGTGAGATCCCGCCCAGATCTTCGTGTCCTGATCGCTCGCGGCCATCGGAGCGAGCGTGGTGCTGTGTCAGACAGAGCGGTCAGGAGTTGTGTCTTGGCGAAGACGGTGGCATACGAGCTGGCCAGCCTTGCTGCGAGGGAAACCCGCGCCGCCGAACATCACCGACTCGGGACGACCGACATGGGTACGGAAAGACTGGGTACAATGCTCAACTGCAGTTCTTGTTCATTTTGAACTGGACTCGCTGTCCGGGCCGCCCGCGGCCTGTGTCCATTTGAGACAGAAGAAGGCCGCCTGCCCAACAGCGGCCGCTGTTGGTCTGGGACAGCATTTGTTATTGGGCATTGTGCCCATTTTTTCCGTACCCATGTCGGGCGTCCAAACCGACACAGGACACATCTGCATGGAGGAGGAGGAGGAGGAGGAGGAGGAGGGAGAAGGGCCCGCGCCGTCCGACTGCGGGTGCCGCGTGCCACCGTGGACGCCCAATGCGCCCGGAGGCGGAGCTTGACGCTGCCGGGGGGGGGGAGGAAAGGACTTCCGTGGGGGAAGACCCGCCTTTCCCCTTTTGCTGCTGCTGCTGCTGCTGCTGCTCTCGTTCCCCTCGTGTTTCCACTCTCGGCATCGGATTCTTCCTCCTCCTCCTCCTTCTCCTCCTCCTCCGCCTCCTCCTCCTCGTCCTCCCCCCCCCTCCCCCTCCCCCTCCTCCTCCTCCGCCCCTCCTCTTCCTCCTCCTCCTGCTGTTGATCTCGTTCCCCTCACGTTTCAACGCTCGGTCTCGGACTGCACAGAACGGCGCGTGAGATGTCACGGATCAGCGCTTCTTGCTGCGAGCGAGGAAATTTGTCGCTCTCCGTGTCCGCAGCGGGTCAATGTGGATGCGTGGGTGCGCGAGGGTTACCCCGAGTCCATGTGGCGGGCCGCTGGCTGCACCCCTCTGACCTCCTCAATGCGCATCGTCATTTGGATGCATGGTTTTGTAGCGGATGTGGGGCAGTTGCGCACGAGCAACTGCGTGCTCTGGCGAATCCGTGCGCCCACTGACTTCCCCGGACAAGGAACACCTGGCCCGAGCTCGTCACGGTCGTACCCCGAACCCTCCCCGCCGCGCCGAAGAGGCCCAGCGGGGCCACGAGGTGTGGAGGTTGATCGTATTTGGCCTCGCCACTGGTTCCTACGCCTCCTCTTTCCCCTCCCGTCTCCTCCCCCGCCCCCCCTTTTCCCCACGGCCGACCGCGACGACGGGCGGCTGCGACGCCCCGCGGGCGGAGCCGAGCCCGCGAAGGCCTCCGCCGTGATGGCCCACTGGGTCCTCCACGACCCCGCTCCCGCGAGAAGCGGGCCCGAGGGCGCCGAGGACCGCCGCCGTCGCTTTTGGCGGCCGTCGGATGCCCCGGGGCAGCAGCGCGAAGGGTGTCGTCGCCGTCACCGTCGTGAAGGGAGGGGAAGGTGTCGTGCGGACGAGGAGGGTGAGGGGGAGGAGTAAGAGGAGGAGGGTGAGGGGGAGGAGTGGGAGGGGGACGGGGGGGCGGAGGAGGAGGGAGAAAAGGAGGAGGAAGAGGGCCAGGAGGAGGAGGAGGACGATGAAGAGGGCCTAGAGGAGGATTTGGGAGGGAGGAGGAGGTGGAGGAGGTGAAGGAGGCATGGGAAGGCATGGGATGTGCAGGACGGAGACGGAGGGGCGAGAGGGCAGAGGATGGATGACGAGGAGGATGGGGAGTATGATAATCAGGGTAACAGGGTAATGGCAGTGTTTGCGATACTGATGATAAGTGCAGAAGGGCATGTGAGCTAGATGGTGGATGGTTGGTCATTGGTTTTTGTTGGTGGCCGTTGAGTTCCATGTGTATATATATATACACAAGTGGCACGTGTGTGCCCAGGTTCATACAGAAAACTGAAAGGGCGTTTGAAGCAGGAAGACACCATGACGGCAGGATCGGAGAGGGAGGAGGGGCAGCGGGGGCGGTGCCGCCAGGGCGTGCCTAAGAGAAGGGGAAGAGGCAGGAGGTGAACGCGGAAGAATCCAAGATCGAGTAAGAGCCTTCCCCCAAGGATTGGGGATCGAGCAGGAGGATCGACGAGGGCAAGTGGGGTTGTCATACCTTGCGATGTGTGTACCAGGGCCCCCAGGAAGCCTCATGGAGGCCCTACTTGGATACCGCAAGAGGCTCCAGGAGGCCCCAGGATTGTGAGTGTTGTGTGTGTGTGTGTGATGTGTGCTCTATGTTGTGCGTGTTGTCTGTGCGTTGTAGGTGTTGTGTGTGTATTATGTCTGTCTAGCGTGTGATGTATTGGGTGTGAGTTGTGTCTCTGTGTGTGCGTGTAGTTCTGAAGCCCCAGGAGGCCCCAGGAGGCCCCAGGCGGCATCAGGAGGCCCCAGGAGGCCCCAGGAGGCTCCAGGAGGCCCCCAGGAGGCTCCAGGAGGCCGCAGGAGGCCCCAGGAGGCCCCAGGAGGTTCCAGGAGACCCCCAGGAGGCTCCGAGGCAGGGTCTGGGGTACCAGAAGGAACAGAAAGCCCCAGGAGGCCCCAGGAGGTTCCAGGAGGCCCCCCAGGAGGCTCCGAGGCGGGGTCTGGGGTACCAGAAGGTACGTCGGGGCTCGATTTTGGGAGGATGTCTCAGGCGAAACCGCCATTCTCTGAGAATCGAGATCAAAATCATTACACTTACACTGTGTGTTTGAAGGTTGTATGTTAGAACGTTGAAATTCCCATGTGTTTTTGGACCCTGACGTCACGATCTGTGTGAGGGGTGCCACTGATTTTCAGAATTTCGAGGATGTCCCTAGCGAAACGGCCAGAAACATCGCGAACGACGCGGCGCGTACGCATTGATCGCCTCTGAGCTCTATTCCCTCGGAGAGGTGCGTATGATAATGTGTATATATATATATATACACAAATTTTAAAATTGGTTCAGCCCCCCTCCCCCCCGCGGTGCCCATGTTGTTTTCCAATTGAAGTGTTCCTCCCGGGGTTTACGTTTTTACATCGGAGAACCTTAATTCTAAAATTGTGCCCTTGGCCTCCGGCTTACAACAACAGCGGTTCCCGCTTGATATGTATCTGAAGTTATTGGACATCTGGCGTTCGCTTGAGATTTCCTTACGACGTATTCACGAATCGTGCTCTCGCTCGAGACTTCCTCACACTTCGTGAGCGAACCACTTTCTCGGCGCTCTGGAATCGCGCTCTCGCTCGGGGCTTCCTCACACTTGGGACTCGGGAGTCGTGCCCTCCCCCGAGACTTCCCTGCTGCTTGCGCACGGATCGCGGCTTCGACGCCCCAGAATCGCGGTCTCGCTCGGGGCTTCCTCGTACTTGCCCTAGGAGCCGCGCCCTCGCCAGAGACCTTCCTTGCAGTTCCCTCCCTCTCGCGAGCCCTTCTTGCTCGTCCCTCTCGTCCTGCACGGTTCTCCCTCACTCCCTCGTGTCCCCTTCCTCCCTCCTTCCCTTCCCCCACTTCCTTCCTCGTCGCTCTCTCCCTTGTCCACTTTTTCTTCACTTCCTGTTTTCATGGCTGCGCCAATTCTTCAGGCTTCGCGTATCACCACCATCATCAGGTCCCTCTCCTGACCACGCTTCCCCAGCAACCTGCCGCACCAGGACAGTCTGACGGAGAAGCAGGAGACGTGCCGTCCCCACACAAGTATGGAAGCGGCGGCGGCGAGTATGAAGTTGACTGGGATGAGTCCAACAAGGGATCTGAGACAGAAGGCCAGGCTCAGGGAATCCCAGCAGACAGGACTGACTCCGTGGCTCAAGCCAGTCCTACACACCAGGTAGTCGAGGCCGACATCCCAGAACCAAACGACAGTGAGGCTTCCCACAGTCCGCCAATCCTGTGGTCCCAACCCCCCCAGAGGGTCGACTCAGCAGCCTGGTCGCCGTACGCTAGTGCATACGCCCGTACACTCCAGGACGAAATCTGCGACGGCAGGCAGCTAAGGCTAGTTGAAAACAAGTCAGAGCGCCGACCACCCGCTATTCCCGAAGACGCCTCACTTGGCCGCGTAGCCCGCCCGCCACTTCGCTCACCCTGGCAGCATCGCTGCGCAGGTCGAGGGCGCGATCCTCAGGCAGCATCCCTCCCACTAGCGCGCCCAGATGACCCCATGGGCGGTCTCCCCATGTACTTGAAGACAATCAACGAAGCAGATACTAACAGGGACGAACCAGCACCAGACAAGATCATCAGACTACAGAAGACGCTGGGAGGCGCCTTCAACGGGATCTGGACCGCCTGGGTCCGTAAGGCAGGCAACAAGCAAGGGAGCCCATGGGTCAACATCAAGTCCGACCCCAGGAAGAATTCGTTACAGCAATGCGAAGACTTCCTCCAGGCATGGAACAAAGCAGGCTTCGACGCCTACAAGATGGACGACGAGCACCAGCTACACGTAGAATGGCCAAGCATTGTGGATAAGCAGCGCAAGCACTTACAACGCGACACCAAAACACGCACCCCCGAAGGTCCCAGTGAAGGCGGTCGCCCGTATCCATGGGCTGACGGCAGCAATGTTGCGCCAGGTTCCCCCCCAGTGCCCGCCGGTGACAGAGACGCCACGCAAGCAGCTGCCTCAGGCGGGCCCCGTGGAGATGATCGCCGGTGCCCATGGAACAAACCAAAAGAGGCCACATGTCCCCCCGGTGTACACCGACTACAGGGTTGCCACACAGACAGGCGCATCCAGTTCAGCCGCCCAATGGGATTCATGGCAGTCCTGGGATGGGTGGGACCGCCGGCAGGGCACGTGGGCCGACACAGACTGGAGGACCAGGGAGAAACGAACTGCCCCCAGAGGAGACTCTCACTACGCTGACAAACGACAGCGCGGGTGGGACTTTGCCCGCAAGTGAGCTCGCCTGGTCTATCCAAAAGGTACGTTGTCCCCTCCATTTCCCCAGGCCCAGGAAGGCTGCCCCATCGTCGAGGGACAGTCGGCTAGGGCTCCATCGCACTCTCCCTGCTCTTGCCCTCCCCTGCGCTCTCAAGAACGCTCCACGACGCTCGTCTGCGGCTCAAGCCACTTCTCCCCCCATGACGACACTCAGGGTCGCTTCTCTGCCCGACCCGGAACGCAACTCAAGCTTTCTGGACAACAATGACCTCGGACAGCTTGGGACAGCATCCACCTTCCTATACAACGCGGTGTCCATCGCGCTGACGCAGTGGGCCATATGGGACCCTTCCGTGCCCAACGGAGGCCTATGGGTTGGCAGCCCAATGGTCCTCGATCGCCCCTTTGCTGGACACAGGCGCGCATTTGATGGGGGCGGAAGTCCACACTGACAGCTGCCCCCACGGGCCACCGCCGACGGGATGGGACCACCAGCAGGGCACATGGATCGACGCAGGCTGGAGGGCCAGGGGGAAACGGTCTTCCCCCAGAGGGGATACCCACTACGCTGACAAACGCCATCGGGGATGGGACTCCGCCCCCAAGTGAGCGCGACCGGGCCCGCCACTGGGTACCTTGCCCCCTCCCTCCCCCCCTGGGCCGGGGGAGGTGGCCCTCCTGACTGGGAACAGTCGGTATGTGCGCTACTCGCCTTCCCCCCGGCACGTTTGCCCCTTCCCCGCTCTCTCAAGGGCTGGCCCGTGCAGCTCGTCTGCGGCTCAAGACCTTTTTCCCCCTGATCACGTCACTACTCCGAGTTGCCACTCAGCCCGTCGCGGAACGCAGCGCTTGCTTCCTGGACAACATCGACCTCGGTCAGCTGGGGGCAGCCTCCACCTCCCTATACAAAGTGCTCTCCATCGCGCTGACCCTGTGGGCCACATGGGACCCCTCCGCGCCGAGCGGGGCCCAATGGGTCGGCAGCCCTATGGTCCTCAACCGCCCCTTTGCTGCGCACAGGCGCGCAATTGGTGAGGGATAAGGACGACGCGGACGGCTGTCCCCCACGAGCCACCGCTTCCGTGGGTGGTCCCTACACGACAGGGGCTCGTTTCACCGCAGTGACAGGCCCCGGCCTTAATACACTCGTGTCACCTCCTGGGGGTGAGGTGCACCACTCGCACTGCGTCTAGACTCCCACGGTGCATCGTGGGCTCTTCGCCCGCGTGGTAAAGGCTGCAATAATTCCTGCCCGCGGTTCACTTAGGCCTTGTTCACGCGGACATGGGCCCGTCTCGCCCGCTGGGGCACTCACTTTGGATGGCTGGGGCCGCAGGCCTAAGGCCCGCCCCATTCGCTCCACACGCTGCACATCCGACGACTGGTGGAAGTGCAAGTGCGGGCGGCAGGTGAAGCTCTTCAAGCCGAAGAAGGCCGCCAGTGCAGACACCGCCCAGTCAAACCAGCTGAAGACGGTCGGAGGCAACAAGGGCGGGGAGGCTGACGCTGTAGGCG